TCAGTCAGAAAAATTTATACAAACTCATGGCCTGTAAAGATTATTACATAGATATACTTCAAATGATTGAGTTCATTTCATCACGTTTTCGACGGTGTGAGAGAAAATTCACACATAGATATTCGTCGCTTCGTGCTGAGCTTGCAATACATGAAGAGTTCATGCCGTGAATAGAAAGCTTCGTGTTGTTGCTTAATCGAATTATTTTACATGGATGAAACAGAAATTCCCCCCTTTAAAATCCTATCATTAGCTCCTGCCTTTAAGAAGACCTCAGAATCTGTACGTGGAAATATTGGCGTGGTTCTTTCATCGTATTGGAAGCCTGCAATTATTTGATTACTCTGGATTCTTTTTTTGTCAGGCAAGATCTTTAAAACTTAACTCAGTTGTCCGGCTGATCAATTTCAGTTTTGAGGAGGCCTCTGGTCTTTTCTCGTTATTTAATTTCTTTTGGGAAATGTTAAAAATATAACGCGTGCTTATTTTATCGCGTGTTCTGAGGCTAGTTACAATCTGATAGATCATGTGAACTCTTCGCATTTTTATTTCTGACGGTTACGACCGCTTTTAAATGGATACTTTTATGGCAAAATGTTACCTTCTGTAGCTCTTCAGTTGTTGCTAAACTTAAATAGAACCAAAGCCCTTTTTCTGCTTTGATTTTGATGCCCAGTTACTCGGACAGACGATATGGCATGCATGGTCTCAAGTTGCTTTCAAATCATAATTGTTTTGTTTGTCTGTATGTTTTCGAACTTTGTACTTATCGCAAACTGGAATAGATCAGCGCTGGTTTTATTCAGGAAATGGTTACGAAATTTAATTAAGGATGAATAAGTCAGTGTAAATGTTTTTTTTCCTTTTTTGAAGCATTTTACCATCTTGTGAAACTTCGGATCAAGGTTAATCCTCGGGTTATCCAAATTAAACCTGACCTGTTTTGATTTGTCTGAATGACACAATGTTTCTAAATGAAAACAAATCTCAGATTTATAATGGGAGCTCTCTGAACTATTTTAACACTGCTGCTTCCTAAATGATGGTCGCACAATCCTTGGTACCCAAGTTTCTCTCGTTAAAGACAATCTCCGAGCCATCGTTTAATAGTTATCATCCCAAAAGGACCACACGAAATATCTAGACTGATAAGTTAACGATTGTTGTATATAAAAAGTCAATGAATGATGCAATTTATTTTGAGCGTCCATCGAGTTTGTTTGCCTGGTTTGCTTAGAGAGCCCTAAACATCAAAACTAGGAGAAAAGAATGGGAACCGATGGGCAAAGGTCTTTGAAAAAGAACTCACCCAGCCTATTGGGATCAATTCCAACGACATCTCAAATATTTTCATCTGGTTTCTGGTGATTTTAGCGTTTGTCTTTGGATAAGTTCAACTCTAATAGGACATATTTAACCCTAATGCACTGTTAAATGTTGGGGTCTCTTTAACGGCTAGAAATAAGGTTTGTTTTTTTTTTTTTTGCGTTTATTTTGAAACCCGTTTCTCAAAATAGATGATATTGTACTGGGTCAAGCTGCTCCAGACGATTTTTCTGTCTGAACATTTGCGGACTTTGCACTTCTACAGGAAATGGTTTTAAAATTTGATTAACATTAGAGAAGGTGATGCTCATTAATCAGCGTAAATGTTTTCTTTAATTTTTTTTTCTAAGTGATTGATCAAATCTTATGAAACTTGGGTCTCAGGTTAGTCTTTAGTTTACTCAAATTTAAAGTAAAATCTTTGTTTTTTTCTGACTCGATCATACCCTCTTCTAAGTGAAACTCAAATTTTGCTGTAACCGGCTTTCTTAGTTATAGGAAAATTTTGTCGCTTTATTTTTCATTTAATCATCTTAACTCAGAAAGACGGTGACACACCCTCTTGCACTAGTTCCAAGTTCCACTAGTTCAAATAAATTCCAGATCCCACCCGGGCTTTCAACTCTAAAAAAACGCTGTCCGACTTAGGAGAAGTCGGTGGCACATAATCTGCACATTTCAACGTATTGAAGGAACTAAATATAAAACAGAAAACCAGAAAACAGGCCAAGATGTTTACTAAAACCAATAAACAAATTAAGAGAAAAATGGAGTGAACTTTGCTCAAAACCAACAAACCGCAAAGTTCTAGATTAATGATCCGAGTAAATGTGGACATTTAAGGCCACGAATGTAACAAAGCTAAATGTCTAAACAGAGAACTCCATTTTCATCCATAAAAGCCAAAAGGGAAAGTAAGAAAGGGAAAATAGGTAAACTACAATGGGTACAAAACTGAGAATCTTCAGTCGCCTCCTTATCCGTGGAGTGTTTGTCTATTAGTAGTGTCATCCAGTGGAGCCTGAAGTCTCCATTGACTACCCACATGACATACTGCGGCTTTGTGCGAACCACCATTTATGACAGACGAATTTTTTAAAGAAGAAATATACCAGCCTTGTTAACGACAAAGGTATCAAAGATTCCTTTTACGTGGAGCTTACGTAATCAGATCATAACTTACACTGACTCTAATTCATCAAAACTCAGTCATCCATGAAGCTGGCGAGACAAGTCAGTATTGAAGAGTTCTCTTGTTAAAGTACGAGGGCAATGAATGACTAAAAAAATCAAAACAGCAATGGTAGAAATAGCAAGAGACTGTTCTCTCTTGGAAATACTTATTGAAAAGTTCATCATCTTTTGAAACAATGAGAATGATGGGTTATGATACTTCTTTTTTCCGACACTAAGTTCTAAGTTCTAATGCGCTTTGCGATTACGAAACTAGTGCATTTGTAAATGTTTTAAGTTTGGCGCAAATATAACAGTTTCCCCTATTGCAATGTACCAAGGAACATAATTGGATTGTCGAAATTCTGAGGTGAAAAAGATCAAGACTTTGTCTCTTGGATTTGATGGGTGGGGCAGCCTAGCAACGACCGGGAGGATGCCAGCAAAATTTTGACGGATGACATCGTTGAATGATGGCTTCCAGATCTGTGGCAGGTTGTCCATTACAAGGAGATCCCTTCAGAAAAGTTAGGATATAGAGATTATTTTGTGGAAAGTGAGTACGAACAATTTTTTTTCGAGTTGCGATTCATCAAAATAACGAACTAGCGAGTGCAGCGAACGAGTGAGGTCTTTGATGCATCGCAACGAGTGAATAAGAATCGTTCAAGCATTTTCCATGGTATCATGGGTATGGCGGTATGATGTTTTTAATTCATACATACTGAGATATTTTCTTACTGACCGACACATTTAAAAAATTGGAAGCCATTTGATGCCTTCCAGTGTGAAGTACTATAATTGTTCTTATCTCTGATTGGACGAACGATGTATTTTCACAGTCGTTCATTCAGTATGTATGAAATCTGTTTAAACAATATGAAGGTTTGTCTGCAGTGGAACTAGGCGGTCGAGCAAACTCTAGTTGTCAGGTACAAGTCTCGTAAACCGCATGTTCCCAGTCAAATGAATCACTTGGCTTTCAAATACTGATTTATTTCTTTATAACTTACGATGAATTTTGTCCACTCCCATCGCTTTCATACCTTTTGGCTTAGTTGGCACCGAAGATGTTTGGTTGAGTGTTTGCCTTAGTTTAAGATTCGTCCGAAAAATATTTTGTGAATTAACATGGCATAAAATCGAGAACGCCTCTCTCTAGAATGAATTCCAAGAAGCGTTGATATGTTTCAGGTACGTTTCATTAACACGTTGTTCACAAGAGCAGCAGATTAGATTCAAAGCTGTCTAGATTATTCAAACAGCGGATGTATTATCTCACTGAAAAATTCTTCTTTGGTTGTAACAATCTAGGTGGCGAGTCAAATTAATGTAACCCTGAAACAAGTTAACCCTTTCACTCCCAAAATCTAATCAATAATTCCCACTACTGTCTTCCATACCATCCCCGTCATGTTAGTTTGGAGAACTTGGAATAGGATCAACTAACAATCCCCAAATTAATATTTTTCTTTATTCTCATCACTTGTCTGCTTAAGTTTGTATGACATTGTAACAAGAAATTCTGCTTTGGCCATTCATGGGAGTGAAAGGGTTAAAAATTGTTGTTGTTGTAAAAATTTACAACACCCCGTCAGTCAGTCAGCCATAAAGAGACATCCCTCACATACATAATGCCTACATTTCAGTGAAGTCAGTAAACAGTTTACACTTAATCCTAATTAATTTCCACAGAATATCAAATGAATAACGAGAATAACAATTTTTTATGGCGCCACAGACGCTCTTGTTGCTATCAATAGATCATGACTTTGGCTAAAATGAAAATTGCGCACTTCTGAGATTCTTCTGCGGTTCAAAATTTAAAACAGAAAAAAAAAACATGATATTATTCGCGTTTTCGGTACAAAATCTCCAAGATGAACGAGTAAATAGGCCTCGCAAAGCAAGTTTAGAAACTGAAAGATGGTCAGACCATTATAATCTCCTAATTGAGTTAACTAGATAAATAACGGTCACTGACATGGATACTGAGGATCATTCAGGGATCTCAGCGTGACCCACCATTGAAGGAGAACAGGTAGCTATTCGGCAAGATAATTGCTTGGATAAATGTTTACGGCAATTAGGGAGGACCCTAAGAAAAGCTAATCACTTAGGCAGCAATCCAACAATGAATATCTTAGTACTGAGATGGATAGAGGGCAAACAGAGTTTGAAAGCTTTAAGAGAAACTTTTTCTCTCCACAAAACTCAAATCATATTTCCCCACTGGCGCACGTTCGTCTTCATTTGTTCCATATCTTGAAGAGCTGGAACCATTTCCACTCAGAATAAATCTTTGATTACATCCACTGTCAATCGTGCTATTTTTAGAAGCCATAGACACTTAACACTGGAAAGAAAAAATTTAGAATTTGGACTCCCAAATTTACTTGGTCTTTTTTCATCGTCGTCTCCGACATGAATTAATGGAAGTTCCAAAGGCCAAATGACTTTCGTATATTTAAACAATGGAAACTCTGCTATACTAAATTGAGTGAGTGTTGAAGTTAACTCCTTCAGATGAACTTTATTTCAATCAAAGTGAAATTTCATTCAGAGGATACCGGTAAAATTTAGCGTTCATTAAACTTGTCATTCTCTAAGTAAGGTCAGATTCTAGTGTGTTAGTAAAATTTTGAAATACTCTGCTTGGTTTAAGTTTAATCACAGTATTCCGCCTTATTGACCTTGTTTACAAACTTATTATAAATAGACACCAGTAAAATTTTTTAGATGATTTAAGTGCTAGTTTCAACATTAACCTTCCTGTACTTTTATTAAATAAACGGGACTAATTGCTCGATCGATTATGTTTTTCATTGATGTATCGATCGTTTAATGAGATCAATCCTGCCAAACTTATCCGTTGCCGCAGAGGTCATGTTGCTTAGTTCTCCGAATATGCGGGTTCTTTTTATATCTCGGCTAAAGTTCATTCAGCATCCGTCAATCATAGATTAATCAACATAGAGATTACATATTTAAATAAAAAGACGTATGATCTAGAAATTCGAACCTAATTTAAAAAAAACCTCATCTGAAAAGTACGAATCTTTCCTCTCTCTCGGCCAAACAAGGGAGTCGCTTCTATGTCCACTAAAGTTCATTTAGTGACCGTCAATTATTTAAATAGTTAATAAGTAGTGACTACATAACTATATAAGTATTTGGAAACGTTCTATAGCTAATTTTTCATCTTATTTAAAGTAAAAACTCATTTGATAAGTAAGAGCTGTTCGTTTCTCTGCTCGTAAATTCATTTTGAGAAAAACTGTTTCCATCATCGCCAAATTCCAGTACCACGCCTTCTGCAAAGTCATCCGGGCATTGTAGCCCCTCGTTTTTCTGTCCAGCAGAATCTTGATGTCGTCCATGCGCCATTTTTGGGTACTCAGGACCTTCGTCTTTGGTAATATTTCTCTTGAGCTCTTGGTCCTTTGAGATTTGTGGTAACGACAAGGTGCGCGAACGTGTGCCTAAGGATATCATGAAAAAATGTTAATTTGTCAACTCGCTGTGATCAAATAAAGAGAAAGAAAGAAGAACAATTTTCTTCGTCTATATACGCACGCAACGGTTTCGAAATTTTTCATAGTTGCAATATGCGCAATAGGACGCTTGTCACCGCTATGAATATTGTAAGTGACCAAGCGAAATGCATCGTCAATGTAAAAGACTCCTCTTAAGGACTCGGATTTTATGTGTTCCACGCTCGCACCAAACAAATGAATGACCATTATTTATCTCTTCTCCAACCGAGATCAAAATTGACCATCTTTTTAAATCTATTTAAGGAGTTCTTCATGGCAAGCTAATTCTTCTGATCAATGATAGTAGCCCATCTTAAATAATCCTATGTTCAGTGTCATACGACGAAAAGTTGAGAAAAAGCTATAAAACGCTCATCTGACACGAGAGACAGGTTTTCAGGCTACTACAAAGAAGGACGAACACTGTTCCCGGCAAGGAAGGATTAGAAATAATAACATATCGTTCAAACGGTCAAAAATTCTATAGAGACCCAAAGATGATTTGTCTTAAATAGATCCCGCAAATTTACTTACTTTTCCTTGAGCACGATATGCTCCAGGATCTTGATCTCTGCCTGCAAGTCTCACAAAGAAAAAGAGATGCAAACACTCGCCGATAAGCCCATCTGTACCGTGAACTCATTTTTCCGTAAATGATCGGGTTTGCCATAGCGTATATCAGAGAGACCATCCCCGTGAGGAGAACAACAGCTTTACTTGATTGGTGGCCTGTAATCAGGGTAACAATGTTGCTGATCTGAAAATAATGTGAAAACAATGATGTTTTCTTCTCGACAGCATCATGATCTTCAGCTCTAATTCTGACTTATGTGGACCATCAAGAGCAACACTAGGCCAATATTGACTGAATAGTCTGAATGAAATCGGGAATTTCATATGTCAATTAATGTATAAACTGAAGTCTGATGAATTGCAAAAGATACCCATTAGCTGAAATTGTTTTGTTTTACAGACTAACAGCTAAATTTAAGATAGAAGGTGTCTGAGAAAGTTGAACCCTATGAGGTCCTCACCGCACAAGAGTTCAAGAGAGAGATTATTGCAGTTATTGGTACTGCCTTTCTTTTTGGCTTTTGGCAGACGCACCGCAAATAAAAGAAACAAATAACTCAGTTAGGAAGCTGCTATTGCAGTATATCAGTGGTTTTATTTCTCCATTGTACGTTGACTGGATTGTTTGATTCACGATTGAAGTTTCATGAAGTATGTCTGGTCAATTGGATACTTTGTTAACGGAAATAATTTGTTTTCTCTTTGGCAAAAAAAAAAAAAAAAAAAAAAAAAAACGAAACAGCATCACGAATTTTTACCAGACACTTTATCGTTTACAATGTGATTTCTAAGCTGAAATGCTTCGGAAACCGTATAGTAAAGACCTACGACTTAATCTCGATAGCCGACTTCGCTGGGTAGAATTTGTATTTCCAAGTTCAACATTTTAATACTCCAGAACGAAATACTCACCAAAATTGGCAGCCAGCTAATGTAGTAAAGAAAAACAACTAGGGCCATCATAAGTGACAGTCTCTGAATCTCCCTCACTCCATGCGTGCTACTCTTTCGTCTTCTTTTCACTCCCTCGCACCCAGGATCCTCGGAAACTGACCCGCGAGACAAATTCGTCCCGGCACTTTTGTTTTTTGTGTCCATTACTGTTTGTCGCTTAATAAACTGCGTACTCGATGTTTTGATCGCAAAATAACATGCTAACACTAGTGCCAACAATATGAAGGATGCAGATACGATAAGAATAGCATAGGCTTTTCCCAAATGCGTTAAATGATAAAAACATCTACCATCTTCATAACCCGATTTTCCAACTCCTAGGAATGGCAAAGAGGCGAACAACACTGCATTCAACCAAGTGAACATGACAAGTTTTTTCACACGCGAAGTTGTAATTGTCGTGTGATATTTGAATGGAGACAAAATCATAAAAGCTCGTTCGACAGCTATCAGCGTGACCGTCCCAGCGGAGGCAAAGCGAAGCGCATTTACCACCACTATATAGAAGCCGCAGAGAAAGGGAGTCCACCTCCTCTGGACAAAATAGTTCACGAAAATCAGAATTTGAAGAGGGACAGCTCCGCCAATGAAATCTGCCGTTGAAAGGGACAGAAGGAGAATATCTGTAATGACCCATTGTTTTTGAAATTTTATCGACAGCAGCACCAAAAGATTTCCAAGAGCAACTGCCAAAATACCTGCTTCGAGGAATAAGCCAAGTGCTAATGGACTCAGAGAAGTTACTGCATTATCTCCTTCTTCTTTCACCGTAAAAGCTGATGTCGTTATGTTTGTTGTATCGGCATTGGTAACCACAGATGTGGAGGCCATTTGTATTCTCACGAACGCACAGTTTTTTTAACTTTAAATCAGTTCGAGGCTCCTCGAACTTCTCATAGCCTTGGCACGCGTCTGTTGGTCAATTAGAGACAGAAGACAGCAATGAATGGTGAGGTTTAACCGCAGGTTGTTAAATATCTTTATGAGAGTCCTTGACAGCTTTAATTGAGTGTAACTTGGAAGTGCCCTAATCTCTTAATCGCAGAAACCAATTTACACGCAGACTGAAAGGTACTCCAACGAAAATAATTTGTTCATCGACGAGCTCTGTCTGGAATCCACACCTTTCGACATCAAAAGGGATCTAAAGTGTTGAATTGCACTTCACTATCTAATTAGTACAGAGCTACGAAAGAGAAAATTTTACATATTATATTGAGATATGACAAATGCTTTCTTTGTTTTACCCAGCTGAGTGAGGTTCTTTGGGCATTACATAAAGGCAAAACAATATATGATGACGCTTTTAACACTCCGTGAAATTGAACTTTGTAGCTATCCTGTGTTTTCTCCAAAAAAGGTAGCATATGTTATTCTTTGCTTAGATGTAATTGCAATGGCGCGTGCAGATAAAAGTTGTTTTGAAAGCTACTTTGTGTTTGGATCAGCGTGATCTATCTTCCATTGTCGATGAAAATTCCGGAAATAACAGTATTATGAAATTCGCTTTTTATTTCTTCTACTATCTTCAAAATACAATCAAGTGAATCCACTGCCCACTGTGAATGGAAACAAATTTTAACGAGATGCAAATAATCACCTGCCGGGTGTGAGACCACAAAAGGGATCAGTTACCATGACACCAAAATAGGTGATTTAACATTTGTTTCATTCATACAAAAGGACTCTCATTGTCGATGAGTACTTCTGAGCGAAGTTTTATTTTGGGAGCCTTAATCAGGGATGGAGACCAAAAGTCCTACCTTATTACAAGATTAATTCAGACACATTTTAAGTATCTAGTATGTGCCATTTTTAGAGGCACGCGAACACGGCGTTGCGTGTTCTGCGCGTAGAAAAAAGGGTGCGCCTTGAAACCTTTTACTTTATGAGACCTTAACTTTCTCAGATTTTCTCCGCATGCAAATTCAAGAGGAGAAAATTACATTTCGCGCAGAAATCACCATTACTATGAAAATGCAAGAATAGTTATTGCGGCAAAGAGTGCGAACAAGGAAATATCTGTGCTAGAATTTTTGCCGACAAACAAAGCCATGAAACTTCCCGGGAAAAACAGTTTTAGTTGTATTTTGCAGTGATTTTAGAATCTACCGATCCTTGCTTTGTTTTCGGATAACAATAGCGTTTAAGTACACACGCTTTGATGGTGTTTGGGTAGCGAAGAATCGAATGTGATTCCAAAAGCAAGAGCTGGACTTAAACTTATCAAATCCATAATTTTCTCGTTTTCTGGTGAAAACGAGAAAATTCTTATATGAAAGACTCCGGGACAGACCGGAAAAAACACTTAACTGCTAATCACTCTTAAATGTATCCTTTATAGATGGTTACTCATCGATCATGCACTTTACTCTTAAGTCAATCGCTATTCCTGCCAGCGAAAGACCAGTTAATCCACTCCACCTAAATCGTTCAGTGCTCCAGATATTCTAAAAATAGAAAAAGTACTACGAGACGCTAGTGACACGTGTAGGAGTTAGGGCCTTACATAACCAAGAGATATCCACTGAAAAAAAAATGTCCAAATTGTGATACCTAATAAACATCTGGCTCAGTGGGGGAGGAAAAGGGGGAAAATGTGGTTGATATTCGAAATGGCCACATTTAATATTAAGATATAAAACTGCTTCGAAATATGAAAGAAATTATCATTTCATTGTAAGACTGATTTCCCATGTTTTAAACGTTGACATTGCGTAAATATGTGTTATGTTGAGGTTTATTGACTCATTTTTCTTACTTCTTTTTCAGTAGAACTCCGAGTTTTTTTGTGAAACGAGACTTAAACCTGTTCCCCCTTGCTGTCTCGTCCACTCATCGTGGGTTTAAAGCAGCAAGAACTTCAAAACCTTGAACTGCGACAAGTTTGGCAAACAAGTCACAGGATCCAAATAGCAATGAAAGGGCATGAAAATAAATACATTCAATGTGAACAGTGTCGTTCAGTGCAAAAAATTTAAAACGGAGACTCATGGTTATTCTAACCACGTTTCCGTGCTGGTGAGAACGAAAAGATACCAAGAAGCCGAAAAGAATGGAAATTTGTGATCAAAAAAACTTTCGTTTCTTTCCAAGTTGAAACTGGGTTAACGGTTTCTGTAGGAATCTAATCTAGGAACAATAAATCTTTTACCAAGCTGATTAAATCCTGAGGCACGCTTCCGAGTAGCTTAACCCTGGGTTAACAGCCTCTTCAAAGATTCCATGTATTGTTGTATTGTCCTCATATTTGAGAAAATGTCAATCATCACCCCGATCTAAAAAGTCGCAAACTGTCTGCTTTTGGGCGTGGTTATGGCGAACCTCATGGACGGTTTTCATAAAAAAGGCTTATAGTGGCTACGACATACTCAACTTTCAATTTTTTTAAAGCTACCGCTCTATTTTACCATGCTTCTATGTCCTGATACAAACACCAGAAGTTCTAAGAACTAGCAATTATTATATTATCGTGTTGAAAATCGTGTTACCCAAAATTTAAAACTGTTTCGACATACTGAAACCCTTCACACTTGTACGAGTGAATTTTTTAGTTTCGTACAACTTTCACCTTGATATTATTACTGTACAAGGCACCTTTATATTCCTGGGTCGGTCATGGATGCAGATTGTGTTGGTGCTTGCAATCTCAGCTGCCATTCAAGTCTTTAAAATAAGGGTCTTAAATTACGATCCGCTATCAGCTGTAAGGTTCAAAGTTGTTTCAACTGGTTTTCATCCAAGTTAATGATTTAGGTAAGCATAAGATTGTGACCTCTGGGAATAATTCCAAAATGAAACACGCAATAAGTGTTTGTAGTTTTCCTTTTCTGTGTCTTTAGTTTAAACTACTGATAGAATTGAAAGAAAAAGCACGAACATTAACTGTTGGTGTCCCTCCAGTAATCGCCAATGATTTGATGTCGTGCATGTGCCTAAAAAAAGGCGTGTCACCCATCATAAGTTTACGAGGGTTACATGTCATAAATAATAACGCTGAGTTTTTGTCACTCCAATCTGGCTTTCTGAAGCGATTATAGAGAAGCCTTTTGAAAAAGAAATGTTACGCGGGAGACCTTGAACTGATTTTCCGGGCGCTGAAGTGGTCTCAGCTAAACTCAACCTCCGATTTAATCTTGGCCCCCTGGGCGCCTTAACTACCACGACTAAAAATTTTACACCGAATTAAAAAGGCGTCTTACCAGAAGGCTAAATATCCTCACAGAGACACAAGACTTAAAAAATACTTGGCGCTTACTCAAGCTAAGAAACAGCCAGTGGCTTAGAGGTACAAGGTGCAGGCTATAGTTATTGAAGAACCAAATCCAAAGTCCTTCTTTACCCTTCATTTATCAGAGCAAAGAGGGAATTGAGCACTATTACGATAAACATTTTAGCTGTATACCTGACGAAAGAGTTTTCCATGCAGAGGTTCGGTAAAATTTCCTGAAGTGCATTGGCTTTCGGAAATTCAACATTGCTTGCTTCTTTGAAATTTCACTCTTGCTCCGTGTTATTTTCATTGTTGCGATCAGAGTGATTGAAGTCGGAGATTTCTTTCTTAACAAAATAGATGACTTGTTTGATTCCTGTAATAACCACAATATATCAAATGGCTTAGTTATCAATTGAACAATATTCGATGGTAATTTCAGACTCCAATACTGAGCAAATATGTTATATTAAAAACATTCACAAAAGTAAAGATATTACTGATATCAAAACACTTTACACAAACGACGACAACGCACCATCCTAACCAGCACTTTTAATCTCAATCATTTTTTTTTTTTTTTCACCTAGCTCATTATGTACATAGCTGAGTATTATTTGCTCTTTCACCAGAAATTAATAAGATTCCTTCACCCATTGTAATAGCATTAAGATGTAGAAGTGTTCTGTGCATTTTTCAAAAACTTGAAGTATGCTCTCCACCCTTCATAAAGATGGTTCGGGAGTAAAATTGTGAGACAATTGAAGTGACATCCTGAACGGATTTCGTAACCGCATTTGTGCATAAGAATCTCCGTATCGTTCATCCGCATATCGAAATGGTAAAACCAGTTTATTAGTGAAATAGTGCAAAATTTTTATTGTTGAAGATAACCCATCTCTCCCTGAGGTTTCAAGAAGATTGATATTTGCATATCTCAGCCCAGCATAATCAAAACAAAATAAGTCAGTCTTACCGAGAGCCAGGACATTCCATGAGAAAATCCTACAAGTTTAAAATTGTGAATTTGAGGGGCTTTATAAAGTGCCTGCGAAAGTTGGAAAGTGATGAAGAACATTACAAACAAATACTAAGTCTTCGTAAACCGATCCTTCACCTCATCCAAGTTCGGGTCAAATGGCTAAACATACTCACTGAAAAATACCTCTGAACACGCATGGGGATGTTAATCAAATCCCAAAGAAGAAATGAACATTTTTGGAAGCATTTTTCGAGTTTTTTACATGTTTTTACAACTTTTATCTTTTCGATACTTTTTAACGTTTTACTTTGTAACACGAGATATAATTTTCATCTTCGAGAGACTACTTCTATAACTACTAAACGAAAAGAGGGCGTGGAAAAAAGCCATAAAAAAAGCGCACGGAGGAGGTCAGTTAAACAAGAACTCCGACACAGAGCATCGCGATAAAACGAAGTGGAAGTCATAACCCAGGTTAGAGAAGACTGCAGGGGGAATGTGTCACAGGGATACACCATATGTGGTCCCCTCACCCCAACATCTATCAGTATGATTATCGTAGCCAAGTAAACGAACTTAAATCAATCCAATTGGATTTTTTGCTTAAATTACATTGGTTGGTGATGAGCTTAAGTAAATACAATTTATCCGGATATTTTTCCAGATTTTTCGACACAGAAAGCTCCTTTGGATGTTTCATAGTAAGATTCTTTTGATAGTTCAAGCAGCTATGCTATTGTTATTACATTTCATACAACGATACGGAAATAAGAAGAGGGAAAGAATATAAGAGAATGGATACGCAGACATCCCAGATACCAATCCTTTTCCTTTACTCAAAGGCAAAGTTAGCTAATATTTCAACTTTGATTTAGCCATTTAAGGCCTTCGAGGGAAAATAAACTGATGTCTGTTTCCTTTTCCAGGATTTCCGGAAGCATATATCGACCAAAATTTCACTACTGAGACATGGTAATTACACAGGAGGCGTAAGAAATGTCGCATTTTTTAAATAACACAGCTGTGGCCACAAATTATTTAAGACTTCCTCAGTTGAAAAGAAACAATTGTCATAATACCCTGCAAACTTTTAATCAGACAGTTTATGAGGGATTACGCCAATGGATTATCACATACTTTAACAAAGCTTCCTAATGTCTCTGGCACAAAGACATGAACGAGTCGAATTCAAACAGAAAGGAAGAGTATCACTTTGATAAACAAATGACGGGTGCTAAAAGTTTAGAGATCCTTCCGCCTTACTTATTCAAGCTCGTTAACTTCATCGAATTGTGAGAAGAACATCATAATTGAAAGGATAAAACGATTTATGCCAAAGGGTGTAACTTTTGCTAATCCTTAGGAAATTAGGGAATTTAAGTGGAAGTAAATGTCTGATTCTTGCAGAAGAACTCTCATCTCCACCATTATATTAAAAACCGTTGGGCGTTGAAGAAATATATGATTAAATTTTTCAAAACCAGGAAATGAATGTAGTCACTTTGTATGCTTTTTACTACACGAGGATAAGGTGTGCCCTTTTTTGATTTTGTGCTTTTTGTGGTTCAAGCTCGATTTTGCTGCTATCTATTAATCTACATGATACTGCGCTTGTAGCTTTCGAATATCATTAGAGAAAACTCTCCCTGCGCCCTAACAAGAAAATGTGAGTTTTGCCTTGCACATTAAAAGGCTCCGAAACTAAGATGAAATCTAAGTAAATTTACAATTCAGGGATAGCTTTTGGCAGACTATTGCTGCAGAGCACGGCATGTTACCAGCCGAAGCGTTTTCGTAATATGAGATTATGTATTTTATATTTTAGCAAATTATTACTACGTACTACAGAACACGGCATGGTGCCAGCAGCAGTGTATTTGTAATACTGTGGAGGATATCGTCTTTTAGCAAATTATTGCCACGTACCACAGAACACGGCATGGTGCCAGTAGCAGTGTATTTGTAATACTGTGGAGGTTATATAGGATATCGTCTTTTAGCAAATTATTGCCACCGACTGCAGAGCACGGCATGGTGCCAGCAGCAGCGTTTTTCTTTGTATATAAACGGCTTAAAAACGCAAACCACGTTTTCCAAATAGGATAAATTTTCGCAAATTATTACAACGTACGCAGTAGAACACTACTGCTGGTAGCAGTTCGTTCGTAATACAGTGAAGTGTATATAGGATATTGAATTGTTGTGCACTTCACTCTTACTATGCTTAACTGAGGGATGGTTCAAATTAAGAGCATAGCATTGGCATTGTAAAGCAATGATCTGTGAAAGAATTGTGTTTTAATGCACTGTGGTCAGTTGTTGATAGAGCTTTGCAATTTACGCTAAACATGCTGGCATGGTGCACTTTATTACATTTTCGGTAGTTCGGTGAATATATATATATATATATATATTCTTTTTCATGGGCATTGAAATGCAGCTAGTCTGTTTGAAGCGTGGTGCAGTACATCACAGTATAAGATGTAATGCGATTTGCTTTATCTAAATCAACAAGTGTTCCAAAATTTCAGTAAACACTCATTATCAATCTCTTCAACATTCAAAAAGCCTGTTTTGTTTTGTCAGTGAATTATGTTAACAAGTTGTGGCAATAAATCAAAAAAGGTTATAAAAACATGCATCACATAACTAGTACATGCACGTGGCCGGCGCAATGACTACCTGTGTCATCAATATAGTGGTCAATGACGCCAAAGAGAGACCTAACTTACAGGCAATTTTCCACTGTTAAGTTACCTCATATTTCCAACCATGTTATTTACTCAATCTTAATTACGCAATCCTACAAAAGGCCCTAACTCCTGCTATGAGGGAACCCGTCAGATTGTCTCCATGAAATTTTTTTTTTCAAGAGGTTTAAAATCCTCTCATACCTACGGATTAAATTGTGGTTAAAACTAGATATCCTCAGTTATTAATAAAAGTATTGCTCATGAGTTTGATAATACAAAGGTATCCTTTAGGTGCGAAAAGCAACGATTTCGTATCTAAATTTTTAATTCAAGATATTGAATCGTTCTTGTTAACACTGTTATTTTGCCATTTTCATCTTTGCTGTAAAGAGGTTGCTCAAAGTATCTTTTAAGCCTTTTTCACAAGGTGCTGCTCATAGAAAAGAAGTGAGACAGTACTGTAGATCTGAGGTGTTCGTGGACGTGATTCAGAGCATAGCAAAAGAGAGCCAAATTTCTCTTTATCGCTTATCTTCGAACTCTCGTTAGTTTGTACATAGATAGAAAAGCACAAGTTTAAACTTACATATCGGAAGCACCAAATTATATCCGCCTTTTGGTTGTCTTCTGTGGCTTTGAACTTTGTAGATTAAGCCATTTGAAATTAGGCAAGATCAACCATCGGCGGAAGTCCGACTTACCCAAGACATTTTTTTTTTCCGACCTTTCGAGATAGGAACATCTAAGTGAAACCACGCATTCGTATATTTTGTCGTCGGGTTGCTTGGCTCGCGTGTCCATTAGGTGAAAAACAGAGCCTCCAATCATTCATGGAAAGTTTAATCACTTCCCTGGCGTGATTCAACTACAATGTGACTCAGGGACATTAGACATCCTATTTCGTGCCAGTCAAATGTATGAAATTCTT